AAAAAAAATGACAGAGAAAAACAAGGGCAAAAAATCTCTCAAACTTACATATGACGTCGTCGCAACCCCATAAGTACATGCTAGCTGTGAGATAGTATGCGCTAATGTCACGCCAGTCACTAAACAAATTACTTTATTTGCTTATTACCTCCATAAATTCAACTTACCGTTCCCATCCGTGAACCTCGCGGGAGTACATTGACATTCATTTTCCCATCGGCGATTACCCGTTCCATTCCGGAATGTGAAAGCAACAGAAACTTCCAGATTAAAATCACTTTCATTTTGGACGTCGACGACAAAGCAGCAGACTGGGAGACTGGAGTCCTGGAATTTTAGCAATGATAAAATTTACTATATAAAGTAGCGATGAACTGTGTTCAAGATTAGTGCTGGCTCTCATTCAAATTCACAATCCCTATCTTCTACTACTAAAACATAGAAAAATGGTTCTCGATACCACAAAAAATGCTTATGGTCAAAACACAGTCGCAAAATGCATAAAAAATGTAAAAAATTCATGAAATAGGAGTTTATCAATTTTTGGAGACAATCACCTACTTCGTAATTGTTGGGTATCACTGGTGAAACTTGTCGAATCACCACAGTTAAGCCGAGATGTCGTATGTTGTAGCATGTCCATGACCGTGGGTAAAGACCTCTGCAAGAAAAAATATAATTAGCCAGTAAGAATAAGTATATAGCCATAATGAAACGTCTTAAGTCATCGACGACAACGTGATTTCATAATCAATTTTTGCATGGATGTCTGGATTTTATTACAGAAGATTGCTTTTCTTGACTGTTGACTTTGGCAAGGAAGTCAAAGCCTGTAGACTTGTAAATTCAGAAAACTAGCAGTTCTGCAACGGTTAGCAACTTGAGGATACTTGATCAAAATAGCCGAGAAGTGCTTTGAGCCACCGGTGGCCCACGCTTCTTCATTGGGTTGGAAGCTATGTCGATGATAAGTTCATTCTAATGCACACCGTGAACTCCGTCTAACGCTTACACCAGAATTTTCATTTTATTTTAAAAACCCTGAATACTAATTTTCAACCAATCGAGTTATAATTCAAATGGTCTACTTATACACAAAAACTAATTACACCTCATAAGGTAATTATGGAAGTGATATTTTTCATATGTTGCAGCTATAGTTGAAGAAAATATATAAAATGTTGTAGTTTCAAGAACTTTGTCTAGTCAAATTTGCATCTTTTACCTTCTGATCTACCAATCGATAACCTAATAAGTCACTTCAAGGTCATTTAGTTGCGCCTAAAGCACCTATGGTATTGCCCCGCCAGCTCAGCACATCAAGCGACAGCGACCACCCAGTCAGAGACCACCCACGTCGAAAACACATTCTTCTGCGTCTCTGTCGCCGCTCGTCTAGCGCAGACTTTCGTGTCTGTGCGCTCGCAATTCTACCTCGATGTCGAGTCCTCCATGGCAGGATTCGAAAGAACCTCCTGAAGCTCAAAACGATCCAAATCAACCTTCGACTTCTTATCCACTTGCTGGACAAAGCTCTTATCTCGATGCTCCTGCAGATGATCCATCTTTTCTCGTTCCTTCCACTTTTAGTGGAATTTCTTACGAAGTTGATGATTCACCGCGTATGTTGGACTATTCTTACGATCCTCATCTATCATTATCCAAGTATCTCGAAGATATGGACAGTAATACCGAGCTCAATATGCCTCTTGAAGCTCTGAATATCAATGCTCCAGCTTCAGTCCCGTCCAATTTTTCGTATCTAAGCGGACCATCATCTTCTAATAAACCGTCACAATTTCGAAGTAGCGCTTCTCCTTTGGATGTGCCGCAGTTTTCTCCTCCTGAATGTGCCGCTACTGAGCTAGTTCCACCCTCAGCTCCAATGTCTTCTGAGAGCCAGTATATCCCTTCTCCTTCTGATCACAGTGGGAGTTTGGTGGCTGAGGCACGAATAAGCACTGTAGGGCAACCTGCAGCCAGGGCCACGCTCCAGGATATTCAGGAGACTCGCTACGAAAGTCCGAAAAATCACGATGAGAGCTGGATTATGCGGGCCTTTTACTCCAGTTCTGAGGAGTTCAATTCACCTGACGATTGGGAGACGAGAAAATCAGCGAGTAATGAGGAAGAGGTCCGCTTGGAGACTAATGGATCAGAAGAGGGGGAGGGGGACGATTCTCTTGTCGATAAACTTTTCGAAATGCTTGAACGAGCTGAGGAATCGGGTGAAGAACCAGGCGAACGAAACGATAATGAAGAACAGGACAGGACCATAACCGACGAACCACAGCAGCCTACACCTCAGGCAACCCCAATAGTTTCTCCCAAGGCAATTCCTACCCAATACCAACAGGAATCTTCTTCACAGC